TAACACCGTTTTTACGCTATTTTCTTCCAAGACCCTGGGATTATTTGTAAGTTCATCTTTTTAATTAATGACAATTTATTCTATTCATCCCAATTCTGTTGATTCTTCAATTATGAATTGTGAGTAGTTTAATTAGGGATTTGGGCCTCGCAAAAAAAAAAAAGGGATTTGGGGTTGATGAAGGGGTTAATCATGATTGATGGCTAGATTCTTGTCGGTTTAATTGCATGAATGCTGTTTAATTTGTGTTTGAATAATTTAATTGATATCTCTTATAACCTAGACTGGAGCTAGAATTACAATTGCATGTAGAATGAATTAAAAGAGATCTAGAGCCCGTTTGGAGAACTCTGTTTTCGGCTTATCAGGCTTATCAACCAGCTTTTTCACCAAACACGTAACTTTTACTTTCGCGCGCTGAATTGTGTAATAAGCCGAAATAGTAAGGTTGGAGTTACTTTTCTGGCTGTATTGGCTGAAGTTACTGTAGAGGACCATTTTAGCTATTTTTACATATAATTTTTTCTTTAATTTATTAATAAAATATATTTTTAAAATATTTTTTTCTTAAATCAACAGAATCAGCCAAAACAGCCACTCCAGCCAGAATATCATAAATTTCAGCAGAATCAGCCAAAACAGCCGAATTTGATGCTACCAAACGGGCTCCTAATTTGTTCTAGGACACATTCACACACACTTAATCGTTCGCTAAGAGATTAGTAGCGATTAAGGGGCCGTAAGCTCGCTCGTTTTTGCAATAATTTAGGATCTTGTCGCATGAGAGATCAGCCTGGACCCCTACATTATTGTACTCTTCGCCGCGAGAGCGGTAAGAACTTAGTAATGATTAGCTAGGCTCAATTAAATTAAATTCATGTAATTAGGCCTGTTCTGCCAGAAATCTGGTTAACTCCGGAATCAATTCCTGTTCCCTTCGTCAATTCTTGTCCGTCCCTGTGGAGACGATACTCGTACTTTCAACCACTTTTCTACAACCATTTTAAGTGCGAGAAAACTCACATCAGGAGCTAAACTTCCATTTCTTGGTGTTGCTCTTGAGGCTTGTTGATTATTAAAGTTGTGAGTTATTTTCTTAACTTCTTCCCTTGAATATTAATTCTTCCCTTAATCTATCTCTATATTAATGTTGGGGAGTGTTGCTAAGATGACAATTAGTTAACATCTCAACATTAATTATTATTAGAAACGATCAACGAATCGATGGTTAGTCGTTGATGGTTTCACAAGTAAGTAACTTTGGTTTATTAATGCACGGTCGTGGTTAATAAACTTAAGAGGGATTAATTTTGTTGGTTAAACCGAAACCGTTGTGTTGAGGCTATCGATCTCAATTGATTTCATCAAGGAGTTAAGAGATTAAATGTTACTATCAAGTCGGTATATGGAGGTGTTCTATACTTGACTAATAGTAAGGGTTATTAATGAACGATCGTTGTTAGTAACCACCCTCGATGAATTGGATATACTCCTCGATTGAGTATTCGAGAGGGGATAAGTTATAGATATAACAATGATCGACTAAAATATATCAACAAGTGAAAAGTAGCAAGACCAAGTTCTTTTTATCTTTGAATTAAATCACATATAAGTCATTCATCTTAGTATTTATTTAATTAAATTCCAACAATCCCAAAACTCCCTTTTATTTACTAGTTTCATAAAAAGAGAATTATTCCTTTCCCTGTGGATACGAACTCTACTTCACCTATACTACGTATTAGTGCTAGTATTGAATTTATTTTGACGTAACGTGACAAAGTGCTCGTCATTCATGCATGTTAATGTTTGCCTGTATGTGTTTTTTTTACACACAAATACAAATTTTAATTTACTAATCATCAGGGATGGATTTAGGGGGGGGGGGGGGGGGCGACCGCCCCCCTTGGACATTCAATTTTTTTTACCATATATGTAATATTTTCATAAAACTTTCATAATTTAATTAGATTCGCCCCCCTTAGCTTTTAATTTTCAAAATTAATATATATAATCTTACATAATGTAATACTTAATTGGAGATTTAAAAGAAGAAACATCTAAAATAATTTACATAACTTAAACAAATAAACAATAGAGTAACTCGCTATTTAAGATTTAGGATACTTATTATATAAGAATTCCTAGTTTTGTAATGTTTAATTATCTTTATTAGATAACAAATACTGAATTTCGTAAAACATATATCAAACAATATTAAATACCAGACACACTAATTACACAATTTTTAGATCACGTGAAATGGATCCAAAATATAAATATTTATAGACATTATATTACACAATTCATTTACTTCTTGCTTTCTAGAAATAATTTATTGCATGGATAATAAACTCTAAATTATTATAGAATTAATAAAAATATTAAAATATAATATGCACCATATATATGTGTGTGTGTATGTGGTGCATATATATTATTCTAAAAATAACAATCTCATACATATTAGTATACTACTATTGTAATATTAAAAAAACTTCTCATGAGTCATGACTCACGAACACCCTCCTTGGTGGACAAAAATTACAATTCAATAACCGATTCATGAGGTTAAACAATGTAGAAGTTATTAAAAATGTATTGGTTGATGTCTTTGTCATCGTCTAAACTTAGAATGTAATAGATTTAAATGTCGTTCAGGATGTGCATGTATTAATATCATTTTTTAATAAAAATAGCCGCATAGCCCTACGGCAGCGAAAAAATTTCGCCCCGCTATACTAGGGAAAAAAAATTCACCCCGCTACACTAACAAAAAAAAATTCACCCCCTACACTAACGAAAAATTTCGCCCCTCTTGACTCAGAATCCTGGATCCGTCCCTGCTAATCATACTTATGCAAAAATAATGATAAACTATAATTTAAGTGTCCTTGACTAGTTCCCGCCTGGATTCCCGGCTAAGCACTTAGGCGCTAGACATTGGGCTGACGCTCGAGTAGCACCTAACCCCTTTTAGAACATCTATAAAAACTGAAATAAAAGTTGCAATAGTCTCGAACTCGATGTTCAACTGTATCTGTCTATTTGTAGTTGCCATTTTTATGTCTTCCTTCAGTTGCCGTCTTAATTTTCTCCCCTTAAAAGCATTCAATCAACATCATGCCGCTTGCTCAGTTGAACAAATATGTCTCCTTTTCATAACTGCGACTCTTACTCGCCACCCCCTTACCTAGTGGTGATTCAAGAGGGGCGAATGGCACAAACATCCATAGGTAGCGCAAATCAGAAGGATCGGTTTTCGTTCTCATTAACAAAACCCTCTTCTTTCTTCTCTAGCCGCAGTCAATTTTAGGCTTTGTTAAGCTTCTCCGTAATGGTAAAGATTACTTAAAAATAGTCCAAATCCAACATAAGTTATCGGACGACACAAGAGCTTGTTTGTTTGGGGGTTAATCTAGGTTATTGCAGGTTCAATTTTTAGTTACCCTCGTTTGTTTGTGTTTTTGCAACAAGAACCTATGTTATGACTTAATCTCACATTTCTTCCGAGAACCTAGAAACACATCAAATTGAAGAACTTCCGACGTGTGGTATTTTGGATGTTAAGTTCCTGTTCAACATAAAATAAGTTAAAGTATCTTCATCCAAACAACATTTATGACGTTAACTTAGGTTCACCTTATTAATTTCCAAACACTATTTTACGCATGAATCTAGATTCACTTAGGTTAACCTAGTTTTTATTAAAACTTAGATTTATTTGATTGCACTAGGTTTATTTAAATTCACTTGATCCAAACAGAGCATAAGTGAAAGTATTCGCTAGGTTATCAGTAGTTTACTGAGGTGCAAACTTAAATGACTTTACTATAACTAAATATCACTAATTCTATAATTTAATTAATTAAAAACATTGTACTCGGTAAATCTACCCTAAGATTATTAAGTGATTATTCTAGTGACATGACAGATTATTTGGGAGAGCATGGTTGAGTAAGAGAGATTATTGGACAAAATTAATTGATAGAATAATCCGAGATCAAAATATGAAACCGGATTATTTTGAGATTATCTATGAAATTAGAATTACTTAGTTGCTACAAGACCCACAAAAGATCAGATTATTTCGGGATGATGGTTGAAGGTAATTCGGAGGGGATGAGATTATTTCCAAAACATTTATATGGAAAATTTTAAAAGGTAAGAGTCACAAATAATCAGATTATTTTAAAATTATGAATGTGGATGCTCTAATAAGTAAATAGACTACTTTTGGAAATCAAAGAGTAAAAATTTGACTTTCTAATATTTTGTGATTGTTCAAATTGAAACTTTAATATGGGTGGAGCCTATTTATTGGATGGAAGGGGAAATAACTCAAATAAGGAAACCGAATACGTTACAGTCGCGTAATAATGCGTACTTTTCTTGGTTTAAGATTGTATGCTTAAAAATTTTATACTTTTTACGTTCTTTAATTCTTGAAATATTGTAATTTTTTACACCATTCACATACCTTACTTTGACCACTATTTTCTACTAATTTAGATAATCAATTTTTTTGTATACATAATCAAATTATTACCTACAAGATGTTATTGAATTCCTATCAATATGAATTTCCAAAATATCAACTTTTTATAATGTTTACTAATATATAATTAAATATAATTGCAGTCAAAGTTGTGCATTGACAAACGTGAAAGTCAAACTGTTGTAAGAATTAAAGAACGGATGATAGTATATAGTACGGAGTAATATATATTCACAATTGTATTATTACTTTTTTTATAAAATTACAAAATGAAAATTTTGAAATACCTTTTTCAAATATAATACACAACTACTTCAACTAAGAATAAAATAAAATAAAATTATAAAATTATAAATAATAAATTATAAATAATTTTCAAATACGGAGTATAATTTTGCCACATAATTAATAATCATTATTTGAGAATCTGTCATTAATTAATTAATTAATTAATTAATTAATGATTGGATTATAGAGATAGATTTTCCCAAGCATATATACTGAGAGAGGAACCCAAAATCGAGCAGAGGCTAGTTCGGGGCGTGAGCGTCAAATCTACATATCCTCTCTCTCTCTCTCACATCCATAGATTCGATTCCATCGCCGATCATTTCTGCTCCTTCAATCTCTCATTCTCAATAATGCTCCCTGATTTTCGAGGTAATCTCTTTCATTCCTTACTTTCAACATTTTTGTGGGTACCATCTCTTTCTTCTCAGTTTCTGTAAACCTTCATCATCATCACAAATCTATGATAATAGACTGATTCTAAGCGAGAGTGATTATTATGATCTCTGGGTTTTGTTCTAGGAGCTCTGTTTTGACGACCCTCTCCTTCAAGTTTGCATCTTGGTTTCCTTTTGATTTTTAAGTGTTTATTGTTTCTGTCACTACATTTCTTGTTCTTCCCAATAAATGGAGGTTTTTTTATATTTTTTTATTTGTTTGTTTTTATTCTTCGTTTTTGGGTCCCTTCCAGCTCTCACGAATCTATGCTGGTCTAAAAAACAATTAACTTTTAAAATTATTTCATTCTCATTTGAATATTCCATTAAAGTCTACTGTAATTTCTTAATAATGATTTAATTTTTTGTTTAAAAAAATAAAGAGAAAGGAGGAACAGTGAAATAAAGCAATATTCTTGTTGATGGAAGTAAATAGTACTCCATAACTGTTGTCTTTTTTTGGTAGTTTCCACCATTATATGCGGGGTCTGTTTCAAGAATATGTTTTATGCTTCAACAGAAACAGCATTTCGAATTTCTCTGGTGATATAGAATTTTAAAGAAGAAAAAACCTGATGGAAATTATCTTTTATTCTACTCCGTATTTTGCAATAATAACAGGAAAAAGAGAAAAAAGAAACAATTTGAGGTGGTTGGGAATAATGGTGTTTGTTGAATAGATACCAATATGAGAGTTATGGCCAAATCTGCTCTGCAAAAGTGACTGCTGATTTCTGGGTCTTGGCTATGTTGTATGGTACAACAATAAAGGTTCCTTTTTATGGAAAATGGGATCTCCTTTTTAAATCTTAAACTACCCCAAAATAACCTTATTCAATATTAAACTCTCCCAATTTTATTTTATCCCTGAATTATTCCCACTTTTCTTTTGAGGATGTCCTAAAAAAGATTTTGTAATTGCTATTGTTCTTTTTCTATTTTTAGAAACCAAATCTTAAAATTTTACTTTGTTAATAACATTACATAGTCTAAACAGGAATGTTTTGGGCCTGGGTGGTACTTAGTTTTTCCGCATTTCCTAATTAATATTATCATTCATAGTGAAATTGCATTTTTTATGTTATTTAAATATATTCTTTTGATAATTAAATAAGTTGTTATTTCTATTCTTCTATATAATTCTGGTGTAGTTTTTAATATGTTAGTTGATTTCTTTTACGAAGTATTAAATTAACTATTACCAAAAATAAAGTACAAATATCTTGATCTTGTGAGTTGTGTCATGTGTGGTTGCACTAATAGAACACATAAAATATGATCGATAGATAACTGTAATTATATCTCCAAATGTAAAAAGAAATATTCCGTATGTAGTATGAGATAAATTAGGAAAGACCATTTCGACAACAACAAAAATGAAGTAAAAAATGACACTTGGTAATTACAAATATACGTAGTATTTATATACTACAAGCTTAGGGGTGTTTGGATCTCATTCTTAAAACTGTTTCTGCTCCATGAGGGAGCAGAAGCAGAAGCTAGAGTGTTTGGATGAAAGTCCGAAAGTGATTTTGATGCTCTTTTTTACTCCTAGCTAGATTCAATTTTTTTAGAAGTTGTGGAGTGAACAGCTTCTGAAAAATGATTCTGATTCTGCTTCTGCTTTAAAAAAGAAGCAGAAGCAGAATTACTTCCAAACACCCCTAAATTAATAAGTATTATGTACGAAAGTACTTGTATAAGATAATGCACTCGTCTCCATTAGTCTAACGTGTAGTACAAATTAGCTTTAAACTATTCAAGAACCTTATCATGCTTTTGGTTCTATCCTTTCAACTAAATGCCACAATGATGTTGGACTTTTCTTACCTGTAAAAATCCACCCTTTCCCTAATTCCCTATTTCAGAGTTACCTTTTGGCTTTTTATTTGTCCATTTTCTTTGGAAGATTGATTCAAAATTCTTTGGTGTAGGATTGGCTTTGAGCTGCCAAGAAATGGATGGAGATGCATTTTCTGGGGCACAGATAGATGGGAGGGTATTGCAGACATTTCAGAAAAGCTTTGTGCAAGTTCAAAATATTTTGGATCATAATAGGTTGCTGATTAGTGAGATTAATCAGAACCATGAGTCCAAAAGCCCGGATAATTTGACCCGAAACGTTGGACTGATTAAGGAACTAAACAACAACATCAGAAAGGTTGTCGATCTCTACGCTGATCTATCAACCTCCTTCTCTAAATCCATGGATGCTTCTTCCGAAGGCGATTCTACCGGTCACAAGAGGCACAGGCCTTACTAGAAATCTAGAATGGCAAGACTTGATTTTTTATGGGAAAAGGAATCATAGATATTTGTAGTGAGATTAATTCTTTGTCCTAATTAATGTCACTGCTAGAAATAATTCTTCAAAAAAGGGAAAAGGCTCTGCTGTTGTTAATGTGTATGCAGATGTATGTACTTGGAAGTTGGAGGAAGAATGTTTGTAACTTTGTATCTTCTGATCTCCTGTTCTAGTTGTTCTTATGCTGGACAACTTATTGCCTTAAGTAAAATTCTGAGGCTATTAAAATTGGGATAATGTGCAATTTTTCAATCCATTAATTGATAATCTTGGTTTTCTCTTCTAAACATGCAGCAATATGTTGAAGGCATATTGCCTAATAGTTCTCTATGTCCCTTTAATTATAGTTCTCTAATATTTGTTTTAAATTTACATGATTGTCAGAAGGCATATAATAAAAATGTGAGTTGGGGTTCTTTATAGATTTTCTGTGTCATTTTGTATTAGTGGAGTTGCTTCCATGATCCATCTGCTTTTTAGTGGAAGCTCTTCTGTCCCCTTTTTGCTTTTCAAAATTGTGAATCCGTATAAAACAAATTCACGCTATCCCATTAATTTGTGATTTAAAATGCAGGAAAAAAACCTTTGTAATTTAAAAGCTTAACTTTGTAATAAAGAAAAAGCTTCTATTTAATTGAAGAAATTTACCATATATGGAGGTATTGGACGGGAGAATAATCGATGCTATGAGAGCATCTCCAATGTTATAATGTCCACGTTGCATATGTGGCATGAGTGATAGCCACATAAATATTAGTAAATAAATTATTTCTCTCCTTATTTGAATGATTTTATACAATTTTGGTAAGTTTTTCCCCGCAATGTCAACAACAATGTCAACATCTAGACGGTCTCCTTGACAGTGTGGAGAAAAACTTACCAACACTGTATAAAATCATTCAAATAAGGAGAGAAAGAATTTATTTACTAATATTTATGTGCCTATTTCTCATACCACGTGTGCACCGTGCACATTTTACCATTGGAGATGCTCTGAGCCATAGTACGGAATAATATTTATTATATGGGTAGGAGGAGAATTAGAGAAAAGTGTGACTCGAATAAATATACTGGGTACCACTTACAAAAGAAACAAAGATGAATCAAAGATTTTTTATATGGTTTCCACTTTCAAATAGATTTGAGAAAGACAAAATGATGCCAAAGGGTTTGTGGGCATCTTAAGATTACGTTACAAATAGACTACATGATCAGAATCTTGCGAGTGTAGTTCTTTATCTCATTTCTTTTTTTATTGTTTGTACATTGTATGTGTCGGTACTTGCATTCTCAAGTCAATACTTTATGAACTAACTTTCAAAGTTTCTAAAAAGTTAAATTCGATTAAGATCACACCCAACTTTTATTGGTATTGGCATGAAAAGATGAATCTAGCATAACTTACACCACCTATAATGAAGCTGTTTATCCCACCAAATGAACCTTCTACCTTCACTATTATCCTCTCCCTCTTTAGTCTTTGAGTTACTCGTAAAGGTAAGAATCTCATTGGGAGCAAAACCACATTCATTTCTCTTGGTGAGAGTTGTACTCATGATCTCCCACGAAGAGAAGACTAAAGGATAGTGGCCAGCCAAGTGAGCCGTATCACATCGCTTTTTTTTCAACTGTTGAGGTTTCTACTCCATCATCCTGGAGTCGATGAACTATGCTTTGAAACTCATAGTCAGGTAAATTTGAATTTCCTTGTTGGAACTAGCTTTAAAGAACGGTTTTAGTTTGCTTATATATATAACCTGCTATCAAGTTGCTCCTACTACTATACAAACTCATTGACTCCATTTAACTTTCTCAGTTTCTCCCTACTCAGCCAGTAAGCCACTCTGTAAAGGTAAGAAGAATCATTGCTAGCGAGACCCCCTCCAACTCCCTTGGTGCGATTTGAACCAAATGTCTCTTACTAAATAGAGACTTGGGGTGGGGAACCAATCAAGTGAGTCATACCAGCAAGCCCCTCATTCCCTTTTATTTCTCTTTTGTTTCAATAAAGGTGTTTGTCTTGGATTTATTTCATTTTCAAGTGTTTTGACAAGTTTGGGTTTTGGACTAGTATTTATATGTCACATGAAAATAAATTTTATCTATTATCATGTTAGAACAATTCTATTAGGATCAAATGTCAAAAGACTGGACCATTTACGATTACTGCCATAAAATAAGGGCTAAATTTAAATCAGATTAAACTTAGGCAGGGTACGCAAATTCAAACTTCCAACATTTAATATCAGATTTTGTGAAGCAAGACTGGAATGGACCACAACACACTTTTGAATTTCTTTAAATATAGATTGGTCTAGTAATTGTTTCGATTGAACCAAAAACTTATTGAACTATCACAAATAGGTTCAACATTACATAACTAATGAACCTACAAATGACTGCGGCTAGAGGAGAAAGAAGAGAGTTTTGTGATTGAGAATGAACCGATGCTGGTAATATATGCAATGTATGCTTGGGTCATTTGCCCCTCCTAAATAGCCATAATGTCATAAGGGGATGACAAGTGTGAGCGGGAATTATAAAAAGGCAATGTATTTGTGCAGCTGGACGGGTGGCATGATGTTAATCATTGAGTGCTTTTAAGAGGAGAAAGTTAAGGTGATGACGGAAGGAAGGCATAAAAATGGCAAATGCGAATACAATTGCAGGATGAGTTCGAGAATATTTAGACTTTTATTATTTCAATTTTTATTAGTATGTAGAATCTTTGGTTATGTTTTGATTTTTATTTTTATTTCGTTTTGGATTTGGTCAATATTTTGTTTCTTTTTGTAATAATAGGAATCATTTAGAGTGTTATAGCTTTGAAAGTCGCAAAAACCTTCTTTCAACAATAGTGGTTAGCTATGGAGTCCATTTTTCATGGACGGTCATTTTTATGTCTAATCGATGGAAAATACGATTGCTTGAGTTAGAGATTCTGTAGATTTTGATTTAATATTTTATAATAGATGTGATTTCCTATTAAAAATATCTCTCTTAAAGTGTTTTACAATTTTATTCTTCATTAAGATAATCCCTGGTCTTTTAAGTGCAAGCATGCGTTCATAGTATAGTGATGGTATACCATCAAAATTTAGTAGTTAATTGTGTATGGGCGAGAAAAAGTGATCCAAGAATAAAATGAAAACAGTACCTGAAATATGGTACTAATAGAAAGTAGGTAGTCTTAGCAACAAACTAAAATACTTAAACAAGTAAGAAGATGACATGTGTCTCATGACTATTTTGGGGGAAACGTCAGCAATGTCAGTAATGAACTTTGAAGACGTTAAACTTAAAATCAGCATCCAATGATGTTAATCTTGAAAAGCATGGCTGAAATATCAAAGAACTGCCAAGTATGGAAACTGTAGTTGAGATCGAAAACGTTCTATTTGAACTCATCCCAAAGAGTCTAAAAAGCTTACTGCATGAGCTAATATGCTCAGCCACATTCGTATATCCCGATCCAATGGTGAATGAGCTTTTCGTGTAATGCGCTAGGTTCCATTTACTACTTTCGGTCTTGACTAAGTGCTTTGGCCACGATATTAGGGTCACTTTAATTTTCTATAATGGGCTGTCTCTTTGAGCGAGGGTGTATGTGACGATACACTTGAACAAATCGTTTATTGAAATTTAAGATTTTAAATCTTATTAATTTTCATTTTAATGATATTTTAACAAGTACATGCATGAACAACAATATTGTGTAATACATTATATTGGTCTATTCTCGTCTATCATGTTTAGTATGAGTGTTTGACTTTCTTAAAATATACGATATTCTATGTTTACTTTTTAAGAGATTTCTAAATGAATCTAGAAAATTAAAATGAACATGAATTACTTTCTTCTTTTATTCTAATTAATGCATTTTACTTTTTTTTATACAATGAAGGTAATTTACACCGCAGACTTCTAAAACCACGTGAAATGGGTTATTTTTCCCATTTACCAGTAATTATTAGTATGCAAAATATTGATGAAGTGTATTGTGAAACGTGTGTTTAATTTTTATACTACCAAACTAGTTATACGCTGCATTTATAGTTAAAACATGTATACTTCATTCAATTAGCAGTTCAGATTAACCAGAAACTAGATTTGAACAATAATATATTTATATAAATATATACTTCCTCTATCTCTTAAAATATTGCCAAGTTTGACTGGTAGAGAGAATAATAAAGTAAACAATTTTTTTGGTTGAGGTTTGTAAAAGATGGAAAAGCAAGTGTTTACGTTAACTAACTGGTTTTGTAATGGTCACTCTATTAAACGGCACAAACTACTCTATTTTAACACGTGTTACGAGGTATTACATGGTCACTCTCATTATTCATACAACTATATATTTGACATCAATTTTGTGTTTTAATTTAACTTCGAGATCAAATATGTTAGTTGATGGTATAATTATCCCAACCATGGATAAATGTTCACCGGGTTAACATGGATGAAAACAATTAGAGGTTGATGTGCATGGTAACTATGCGCGGATGATGATAAGGTATAGGAAGAGCTCGTACGTGGTGACCACGCGCGGGTTAGAAGATAAAATACTGTACATGACGACTGTGGACGCAAGTTAATAGAAGATCAGGAACTACACAGTGACCGTGGATGTCGGGGTAGGCTTATCCAGAGAGCATGTCCACAGCAACCATGGACGCGATCAAGTACCTTAGCCAAAGGAGCGTCCACAGCGACCCTGGACATGGTAGTTGAAGCCTATCCAAATAATCTATGCATGGTGTCTCTGGACATCATGGCAAGCTACATGGCAACTCCGTACGACAAACTACATCAATGACGTCTTTTCAGAGATACACACAATCAACAAAGGATCCCGCGGATCCGGATTAGTGATTTGCGTATCAATACGAACATGGCGACCACGTCGCCCAAATCTTTTATGTCTTATTTCCTACTATAAAATCATGTAATCTTTGGAAAGCTAAATACACTGAATACATTACATACATTTATCTCTCTAAAGATTATCCTGAGCACTTTAATTATTTTCGGCTATCTCTTATTAATTATTTTCCGGTGGATTTACTTCCATCATTTTGGTGCTTTCATTGAGAGCTGAAAATACACTCAGGCTATTTCAACGTTGTAACAATGGCTACTACAAGGGCGGAGAAGGATGTACCCGCTGATGGACACACTGCGTCCAACTCATCGGGTCAAGACTTGCGTAACCGACTCAGTCGCCCTGCGGTGGTTCCCGTAGAAGTGCCCGATGTCCATGGTGCCATCCTAGGGATGACCAAGATGTTGGGTACTCTTGCGAAGGACGTACGCCGTGCAATTCCTAGCACTCATCAAAAGCCTCCTCAACCACACGGAACTCAAGTTCCGACTAATCATCCGGCGGTGGAGGTGGAGGTGACATCACCGGCGCCATCTCAAAAAAATGGAGAGAGAAGAGAGGGACGAGGAATCCCTGTCTCTTCGAACCAACCAGCTCGAAGTGAGGCCTCGGTGTTCAGTAGATTGGGAGACCGACGACGCTCTGCTAAAGACCGTCTCGGACGATCGCACTATGTTGATAAAGAAAGGGATACACAAAACCACCGTGGACGACATGACCACGGCGAAGAGGAGCGTGTGCAAGCTCCCAAAGTCACCCATATGACTACCAGTCACCGTTCACTTGGACACATGACTGAGCATGTCGGCGGGACTGAAATACGTTCACAAAAACCGAGGAACATAGAAGTAGAGGACGGTGGCAGGAAACGTGTGACGATTCAAGCAGATAGAACCAAGAGTGATCTAAATGACGTGGAGGTGAGGAAGCTATGGAGAAAAATCGAGGACCTGCAACGACGGGTAGATGCAGGAGATGGAAACACAGACGCTAAACTAAAGACGGTAACCCCGTTCACTACACGGATCATGGCATACCCGTTACCAATTGGCTTCAAGGCGCCCCATGTCAAGGCCTATTCGGGAACCTCAGATCCCCAGGAACATTTGTCACGTTATTATGCTAATATGATTATGATTGGGGCATCGGAGGAAATAATTTGTCGATGTTTCCTAGCTACGTTGGAGGGAACTGCGTGTGAGTGGTTCAATTCTCTCCCCCATGGCTCGATAGATGAATGGGAGGACTTAGCGCAAAGGTTTCTTCAACACTTTGCCGCTAGCAAAAGAACCAAGCAACACTACTCACACCTCCTGACCGTGAAGCAGAAGAAGGGTGAGGACTTGAAAGATTTCGTGATACGGTGGAGGAAGGAGTCTTCTGCCGTGCATGGGGCGGACGACCAAACTCGCCTTGCCATGTTCCAGGCAGCGTTGCGGGCTGGGGAGTTCGCCTCAAGTCTCATCCGGGACCCGCCAAGGTCGTACCAGGCCGCCCTTCAAAGAGCTGACCGATACGCCGATGCGGAGATCCGAGAGGTGCAAAAGAAAAAGGACGAGTCATCGGAACCTTGGAGGGAGGGGACTGTCCCTCACCACAAAAAACAAAAGAAAAACAAGAAAGATTTCAATTATGGTCCAAGGCAGATTCCTAATACAAGCTCGATGCCTCTAACTCATCCTGTGGGTACGATCTTGGACTATGCCGAGCGCACGGGTCTCATGCAAGGGCCAAGGCCGGAGGGTGAAGTGTACGCTGTCTCTGGTGCTAAAAAGTATTGTCGCTATCACCGGGTGGATAATCACGACACGGAGGAGTGCTTTACCTTGAAACGCGAGATTGAAAGACTGATCCAAAGAGGCCATCTGAGTAACTTCGTCAAAGGGGCTGCACAGCAACCCAACCATGTATGGCGGAAATCATCAGAACAAGTGGCATGCACGCAGCCGGAGACCCGAAGGGCAGAGAAAAGACACATTGGAAATGAGAGTGACGAGGATGCCTCGGATGAGCCAGGGCCGAAGCGAGACAAGAGGAACCATGACATCAATTTCATTTATGGAGGTAATGCAGGCGGGGACTCTTCGTCCCTTCGAAAGAAATGGGCTCGTCAACTGTACATTGGTGAGATCATGCACTCTCCAATGAAAAAGAAGGTACGACGTGAACCTATATGCTTTACTGATGATGACCTACCACCATGTCCAAGCCCACATCGGGATGCCATGGTTATCAAAATGGAGATCAATGATCTTGTCATACACCGTACCCTGGTCGACACTGGAAGTTCCGTTAACATAATGTACCTCGACACTTTCGAGAAACTGAAGTTGTCCAAAGGAAAACTCCATCCGATAAAAACCCCGTTATCTGGGTTCACGGGTGACTCTATCGAGGCAGAGGGAGTTGTCACGGTCCCGGTAGAGGTGGGGGACACATCCCATAAAGTGAAACTCAACATGGAGTTCGTAGTTGTCCGACTGACATGTGCACATAATCTTATACTCGGACGGCCAGGCCTGGAAGATTTGCAGTGCATTGTGTCCCCGGCACATCTTTGTATTAAGTTCCCAACACCAACCGGAGTGGGGATAGCACGCGGGAGCCAGAAGCTCGCCCGAACATGCTACATAAAAATCACAAAGAAGGTGGGGCGGCATGGCCTCCAGGTAAACACTGTGGCCACACAATACCTACAAGATGAAGAGCGAAGACCCCGTGCTGAACCAGCAGAAGGGACAGAAGAGGTCACCCTTGACCCTGCAACCCCAGAGCGCAAGGTTAAGATAGGCACCGGATTGTCAGCTGAGCTCCGCGCTGAGGTCATAACTGTCCTGACTATGTACCAAGGCATATTTGCAAGAGGACCAGAGGACATGCCGGGCATCAGTAGAGATGTCATCTCTCATCGCCTAGACGTAGACACTATGTCAAAACCGGTGAAACAAAAGAAACGTTACATGTCCTCGGACAGGCGGGAATTCGTAAGGAAAGAAGTGGGCACCTTGTTAAAAATCGGCCACATCAAGGAGGTAAAATACCCAGAATGGTTGGCAAATGTGGTATTGGCACCTAAACCCCCAACGTGGAGGATGTGTGTTGATTACACTGACCTAAACAAGGCATGCCCGATGGATCCATTCCCATTGCCTAACATCGACCAATTGGTGGACGAGACAGCGGGGTGTGAATTGATGAGTTTCATGGATGCTTTCAGTGGATACCACCAAATTCGCATGCATGAGGAGGATGCAGAGAAGACCTCATTCATGACTCCAGAGGGTGTTTTCTGTTACTTAGTCATGGCGTTTGGACTGAAAAACTCTGGGGCAACGTACACTCGCATGATCTCTAAACTTTTTCGACCCGTCCTAGGCCGCACCATGGAGGCCTACGTGGATGATATGATTGTGAAGAGTAAAAGAGCAGGTACGCATGCCGTGGATTTGGCAGAGGTGTTCAAAATCATGGAGAAGTTCAATCTTCGTCTCAATCCAAAGAAGTGCACGTTCGCCGTCCAAGGAGGGAAGTTCCTGGGTTACTTGGTGAGTAGAAGAGGAATCGAGCCAAATCCAGAGAAAATCAAGGCCATACTCGAAATGGAACCTCCTCGTAATGTCAAAGAAGTGCAACGATTGACGGGACGCTTAGCGGCTTTGAACCGCTTCTTATCAAAACTAGCAGAGAAAGCCACGCCATTCTTCCACATCATGAAGAAATCAAAGGGTTTCGTATGGACTGAGGAGTGCCAAAAGTCATTCGAGGGATTGAAAAACTACCTCTTGTCTCCTCCTGTCTTGTCCAAACCTGAGGCGGGGGAGACATTATACCTATACCTAGGGGTTTCACCAAGTGCAATTAGTTCTGTCCTGGTGCGTGAAGATGGCGGCGTCCAGAGACCCGTTTACTACGTAAGCAAAACTTTGAGGGACGCTGAGCTACGGTACACAACCATAGAAAAAACTGTTCTGTCCGTGGTGTGGACGGTCAAACGGCTCACACAATACTTCCAAGCTCACCCTGTCCATGTACTGTCACACCAACCCCTGGGTGCCTTAATGAGAAGTCCCACGGCTTCCTCGAGGATGATCAAATGGGCAGTGTATCTAAGTCAATTTCATATAGAGGTGAAGCCAAGACCTTCCATCAAGGGGCAAGCTCTTGCAGATTTCATAGTAGAATGCACAGCGCGGGAGGAAGCAACGAAGATGAAGCATGGCGACGATGAACAAGAGTGGTGGATATTGTCCACGGATGGCTCCTCCGCGGCTAAATCTTGCGGGGGAGGGGTGGTCCTCACCACGCCCGAAGGCTTCAGGGCCTATTACGCTATCCGGTTCAACTTCAAGGTGTCGAATAATGAAGCAGAGTACGAGGCTCTACTATGTGGTCTACGCTTGGCGGCAAACATGAGGGCGGAGAAGGTCAAGATACGGTGTGATTCAAAACTAGTGGTTGGACAGATCACGACGGAGTTTGAGGCGAAGGAAGAACGGATGCGGCTATATCGTGACGCTGCCCTGGAACTTCTGAAGTTGTTCATCGCCTATGAAATTGAACAGATACCAAGAGCGCAAAATGTCGAAGCAGACATGTTATCCAAATTAAGTGCAGAGACACCGGAAAGGATTTCAAAGATTGCAAGGATAGAAGAGTTGGACACTTCCAGCATATATGCGTGCCCTGTCCAGGCCATAACCACGAGGGACGCAGACTGGATTGACTGCCTCATCAAGTATATCAACGAGGGAGTGCTGCCCGCGGAGGAGGTTGAGGCCAAGGTGACTAAGATGAGGGCGCCGAGTTATACCATTTTGAATGAGAAACTGTACAAGAGGTCTTACAATGGCACGCTTCTCAAGTGCTTACGACCAGATGAGGCCAAGGTCGCCATGGAAGAGATACATGCAGGGATATGCTCAGCTCACCAAGGAGCACACACCATGTCCCGAAAGGTAATCCTACAAGGTTTCTTCTGGCCAACCATAGTTAAGGATTGCGCTGAATTTGTCAAGAGGTGTGTGGTGTGTCAAGAGTTCCAGAAATCTCCGGGACGTCCGGCCACCAACTACACCCCCATCAGCACGGCTATACCTTTCGCAAGGTGGGGAATAGATCTCATTGGTGCCTTACCAAGGGGAACAGGGAGCGTGAGATGGGTTATCGTTGCCATTGACTATTTTACTAAATGGATAGAAGCAGTACCCCTAGCAAGCATCACTGAAGGGCAATGCAGAAAATTTGTCATGAAGCACATCCTTTGTCGCTTTGGAGTACCCCAACAGATCATAACCGATAATGGGAGGCAATTCGGGGCGTCTGGGTTTAACGAATTCTGTGAGAGTTGGGGGATCAAACACAGCAATGCGTCAGTTGCCTATCCCCAAGCGAATGGCCAAGTGGAGAATGCAAACCGCACGATCATGGACGGTTTGAAGAAAAAGCTGGAAGCAGCCGGAGGGGAGTGGGCTGAAGAACTACCACAGATACTCTGGGCATACAGGACCACACCAAGAAAGGCCACAGGGGAGACACCATTCGCCTTGACATATGGTTTCGAGGCGAGGGCACCTGCGGAAGTAATTCTCCATAGCCGCCGAGAAGAGGAATATGACCCCGAGACGAACGAGGAGGTCATGGCGACCGAGCTTCTTTTTATTGAAGAAAGAAGAGAGGCGGCTTTCTGCCGTGCAGAGAACTATAGAAGGCAGGTGAAAGGATATCATGATTCTCGAGTTCGCAAACGCAACTTTGAAGTTGGGGACTATGTCTTGAGAAAAAGGGAGGTCAGCAAACCCTTGGAAGGGGGGAAATTTGCCAAAAATTATGAAGGCCCTTACGTGATTAAATCAGTGATCCGTCCAGGGACGTTCAAACTCCAGACGCCGAAGGGAAAAGAAATTGAGAGGACTTGGAACGCAGAACACTTGCTCAAGTTTTACCATTGAAAATTTATCATTGATACTCCAACCTGATGATTATGATGTATGGTAACCACGTATGGTGGTAAACGCGGTCCTTTTCCATCCACTGTTTTCAAATAAGAGATCTCCTTGATCCACACAAGAGTGAATAATGGCAGTCCCTGGCCGCAAAAAAAAAAAAAAAAAAAAAAAAAAAAAAAAAAAAAAACATGGTGTCGTTCAAAGACACTGTGGGTGTCAAGCTCACCCAAAACAAAAACAAATTACAAGGTGTCATCCAAGGACACCGTGGGTGTAAAACTCACCCAAAACAAAAAAAAAAAACCAAAAAAAAAAATGAAATAAAAAACTAGTAAGTAGCCAGGCATGTCTCCTATGACATAGCTGAAATTCTCAACACGCAAGGGGTATAGACTCGCCCCTAGGAAGGGGACGAGGATACATCGCAAATCGATCCCAACAAATGCGTAACCCTCAGGGTTGTATGGTCAGGATGCATCTGTGAAATATATCGGATAGCGGCCATGTTTCCCAAAAAACGTTGTGTGCCCCAGAGCAAGCCTAAGTCACTCAGGTGTTAGGTTCGCTCACTTAGTCCTATTTTTTGGGGAATAAGTGATGCGCGCAATGTAGCGAAGGAGGAGGTGTCAACGACACCTTGTGCCTATCGTTGTCCTTAGTCACTCTATATAAATACAAAATGCCTCAATTCAAAATTAGGCAGATATGGGGTGATAAATGCACCAAAGTTTTACACTTGGTGTAGTATCACCGTATACTACTATAAGTGATCATGCAAACTGTGCCAAACGAGGCATGGTCGCAGTGTGATCTCATAAAATCAAAATATTAGTCAAATAATGGATTATGCGATAATATTAAACAATAACGAAAGGAAAATAAGACATGCATCATTATTATTTTATGAAATTCAAAACATGTTGAGCAATTCGGGTACTCGTAATTGAAGACATGACAGAATTAAAGTCTACACTACGTCCATCCGTCACTCCCATGCATGCTCTAAGGCACAGAAGCAGTCGAAGCTGGGTGATCTGTCTCGGAAGGAAGATCGCCAAGCTCCTCATCAGTGGGGAGTCTGTCAAAAGGAATATAGTCCAGGGGCGTGTTGGCTACCGGGTTCTCAGGGTTGGGAACCTCAGGAGGAAGTCCCCAATCAGTGATGCAAGAGGTACCAGCCTTATCCCTCAAGATAGGATATATTTTCTGTTGAGTGGCATATATCCCGATCTGGTAGGAAACGTAGCTCTCTAAGGCCAGTTTCTCACGACCTTCCGGAGTAGACAACCAATGCTTGCTAATATCGTTCAAGTGGGCATTAATGTATGCTTCCTGATCAGACACGAACTCTGGAGAATTCTTGTATGCATCCACGGCCCGCCCCCTTGCATTGGCCAACTCCACGGCGTGCATTTCTTTAAGCGCAGTGACCTCGGCTGCATGTGAGTCACGCACGAGCTTGAGCGATGCCACCTCCTTCGCTAATTCGGTGAGTTGTAGCGACAAATCTTTCTCGCGCTCATCTTTCCTTCGGTTCACCTCGGAGATGGACAACAGTAGCTACAAAAAAAAAATTAGTATCACGAGATGCACAAATAAAAGGTAACGGGGAAATGGGAGGGTTACCTCGGCCAGGCCATGGTGGCTCCTCTTCTCTAAAGCAGCATGGTCAAGTGTTGAAATTTTCTCCTTCTCAGTCGCCGTGATCACCTGTGATAAGAGCGGAGGTAACTCAAGGTTACCTCGTAACCAAGTAGTCATCCCCGCCGTGGGAATATCACTCATGCTACGGGTGACGCGGGCTGCGGGGCTAGCGGCCCTGCGTTTTGCAATGGATGAAGGCACAGTTACAATGGCATCCTTGCCTTTTGTGACGGAGGGAACCCTTGGTTTCTTGTCAGAGCGCCCCTGGTCACTACCGCGAGGCCCATCCTGGTCGAAGCTTTGGAACATCTCCAACCGCGATGTCATATCTGCAAAAAAAAGGGTATGCATATGTGTTAGTTAATATATATATGCGTGTATTATCTCCTATAGACAAAGTAACTGTGGACAACCTTGATCCGTGGACGTGGATGCGTGTGCACCCGAACATGGTGACGGCGAATAGAGTCCAACCGTGGTTAGGCGGTCCTCGGAAGTAAAGGCAGAGAGGCTATACGGTCCTCCAGAAAGAATCATAGCCGGCCATGTCTCCTGGTCAACCGGAAGTTTCGGGTACGAATACTTCTTAAACCGACAATTCAAAGACGATGAAAAAGGTAACGGAGATCCAGACGACACATAGACAAATTCTTCTTTCCAATTGGCTTCGTTGCTACGAGTGACCTTCCACATGTCAAAGTGGTTGCGCTGAGAGATAGACACCCAGGACAGACTATCAGATGCCGAGCACTGCCCAGCTCGGAACATGTGCTTGAAGAGGTCTAGGGACGGTTCAATCCCAAGTGTCCCGCACCGGACCAGGAAAGCTACCAAATACTGATGACCGAGCGGAGTCAAGTGACAAGGTGAAATTTCAAGATCATTTAAAAACTCGATAATCAAAGGGTGTGTGGGAAAGCGGAATCCTGATTTTATGGAAAGAATATGCACCCCGAAAAAGTGACCCTTAGGAGGATCGGTTACAATATCCTCCGAATCGGGACATCGGACAGTCACTGTGGACGGAAAAAATTTCTTATACTTTTCAAACTTGGAAACTGAGAGGCGCGACCTGTAGTGTAAGATGGGGCTCGGGTCTAAGGGTGGATACGGACCACGGTAGCGACGTTTTGGTGGTTTGACTGAAGCGGCTCGTGGCTTTATGGGACTAATTTCTTCAACATCAGAATTCACATCTGCCCAGGGATGAGGAAAATTCTCCAACACTAATTCCCCGTCACCACTGAGCAATTCATCAGAGTCTATGGAGTCCAGTATATCCATAAGGTATTAACAGCTAAAATATTATGCAAAAAAAAGGGGCAAGAGAAAAATCAGCCGTTAATTATAAAAAAATTACTACGTATATTCAAAGGGATAGCCGAGGTCATTAGCTATTCAAAAAAAAAAAAATTGAAAGGGATGTCATTACAATTGATAGCAAAGGAGCTATGTTTCAAAGCCAAAATTAATACTCCGTACTAGTAGTAAACTGTTAACAAGGGTATAGCCGAGGCAGCTATGGTCAACACAAGACTAATTTAATCCTTTACTTATTTGGAGAAAGAAGAAACAAATCAAATCAAAATAAAGGGAAAGAAGACAAAAGGGAGACCGGTGCTTACCTGCTTGTTGCGTGACCTAGCGGCGGCGGTGCAAAATCCAGAGCAAGACAACGACGATGGCTGAATCGGGATAGACAGCCAGAGCAAGGGGGCGACGGCGCAGGTGGTAAACGACGGCGGCGAACAGTCCTGGATGTCACCGGAAGGCGCCAGCGTCTGACGAGGGCGGTGGTTTGCTTCACGCTAAAGTGCTCGCAGCCCAAACTACACAGTGATGGCGGCTAAGACAGGGCGCAACAGAGGAGACTCGCGACAGTGAGAGGCTTGGCTACAGGAGTTCGGTGGTCGGCGGCGACGCCGATAAAATTGAACCCGCGGCCGGCGACGCCGATAAAATTGAACCCGCGGCCGGCGACGCCGATAAAATTGAACCCGCGGCCGGCGACGTTGACCGAGTGATGGTTGACGGCGAGTTGTGGCCTGAAATGGAGCAAAGGTGACTGGTCGTGGCCTGCAAAGCTAATTGGGAGATTGGGTGAGAGTAATTTTAATTTTAAGTCATGGAGTGCATTTTGGTTAAAAATAAAAAATAAAAATCTTGAATGGGTAAAAAACAAAAACAAAGCTGGACATGGTGACCATGTACTCTATATTGACACGGCAACTGTGTCTCTTTACTCCCTATCGCCGATATGCTATTTGGCTTAGGGAGTGGGGGGCTTGTGATGGTATAATTATCCCAACCATGGATAAATGTTCACCGGGTTAACATGGATGAAAACAATTAGAGGTTGATGTGCATGGTAACTATGCGCGGATGATGATAAGGTATAGGAAGAGCTCGTACGTGGTGACCACGCGCGGGTTAGAAGATAAAATACTGTACATGACGACTGTGGACGCAAGTTAATAGAAGATCAGGAACTACACAGTGACCGTGGATGTCGGGGTAGGCTTATCCAGAGAGCATGTCCACAGCAACCATGGACGCGATCAAGTACCTTAGCCAAAGGAGCGTCCACAGCGACCCTGGACATGGTAGTTGAAGCCTATCCAAATAATCTATGCATGGTGTCTCTGGACATCATGGCAAGCTACATGGCAACTCCGTACGACAAACTACATCAATGACGTCTTTTCAGAGATACACACAATCAACAAAGGATCCCGCGGATCCGGATTAGTGATTTGCGTATCAATACGAACATGGCGACCACGTCGCCCAAATCTTTTATGTCTTATTTCCTACTATAAAATCATGTAATCTTTGGAAAGCTAAATACACTGAATACACTACACGCATTTATCTCTCTAAAGATTATCCTGAGCACTTTAATTATTTTCGGCTATCTCTTACTAATTATTTTCCGGTGGATTTACTTCCATCATTAGTCATATAAAGTTAAATTATGTTAGAGGAGATTGTATAGTGCATCTTATACAATCCAATGTGTATATCTATTCATGCAGGATTATGAAAGCATGAAGGAGAAAAGAAATAGATAGATGCACATTGGAGGTATTCAGATACAGAGTTTTGAAAAATGATAGTTTGGTGTATGTTAAACCATCACCTATGTGGAATCAGAGTATTGAACAATCGTCAACAATCATCGAGAAAAGAAGTAGAACTGTCTCGATAGGTTACAAGAAGCCTTTATCGTCCTCACATTGAACAATATGATTCGAGCAATCATAGTATCATGCACCCTAATAATGTTATGAGTTTACTAGTGGTGCTTGAAGACCTTCAAAACCCTAATGTAGACAATACCAACACACCTGATAAAATCATGGCAACTCCTGAGTATGTTATTAGTGTTAGAAAAATGTGTTAAAAATTGCATTAAGTGGTAATTTTGGGACAATATTTTGAGTGGGGTCCACTTCGGATTTGGGTCGGGTCAAAGTGGTTTCAGATTGTCCTTGTTAAGGGCTATAATTCAATATGTGGTACACTCAAAATGGATAATGGGTGAGTGAGAAATTGATTCTCGAAGTTCACTCGTTGAAATGGAAAACTGGGAAAATGATGGGTTTCTAGTGTGATTTATCCCACACCAGAAAATCCAAGGGATTTTCACCCCCTTATAAAGGGAAGCCTCTTTGAAGGAGTTAAGATTCCTAAGTGGAAAGGATCTCTTTGCGCGCGAGGGGGGGGGGGGGCTGCGGATCAAATCACGAAAATGGAGAAGAAAAACCGCGACTTGCATGTGCGGGCGACCTGCAGACACGGATGTCGTCCAAAAATCTATCTTTCAAAGATACGATTTCTCTTTTTCTTCTTCCCGTAACGTTTGACATATTAATGCCCAACGTGCTGGTCATTTATGTCTAACGTTCAGTTCCATTAAAGGTCACTTAACACACAACAAATTCATCCCTATATATAGTTGGTAGGTGGTTTGCAACAAAACACGTTCACAAACAAACTCACACATTCCTCACGTAGTTTGAGCTCTCAAAAATACCTCCAGCATTCCGAAAATATTCTTAGTGTTCACACTTGTGTTTCCGAACATTTGTTAGCCAGTGTATCTTGGGAAACGGTCATTGGAACGCTCCTAGCACCGTGGGAGGCAACGAATACGTTTTAAGGACATCATGCATAGCACGAACTCTAACTTTTTTGTTCCATCTTATTTCTTGTTTTTCTTTAGTCATTTTAATTAATTTTATTAATTAATTTTTCTTATTTTCCGGAACACACCCCACAATTACTACCAGTAGTGACAATGATAATTTTCATGCCTCCTTTTCGAGCCAAGAAGATCACATGTAGATATCTTCCTTGGTCTAAGAAGATCATGTGTGGATCACAAACACAAATTATCATGTGATAGAGTAAGTTAAATTTATTCTTCTCAAACTTTTTATTTTGTTTTCGTTATTATTATCATCACCGTGTACCAATACCAATCATACCACTTTGAAGTAGTTCTGATTATTCATTTTACTTGCTAGCATTTATGTTCTAAATGCTCGGTTAGAGTTGTAGCACTTCAACATTCTCAAAACTAGATCGCATTTGGCTCATTACATGTCTATGATAGTACTTGTAAAATCAAGATAATACAAAAAACATTTATACTTTTCTAATTCTCTTATAAAGAGTTTTATATTTTTTCCTGTTCTATTTCCATAAACTTCACACATTAAGCCACAACTCAAAGTTCTTAGGCGGTAAGAGCAAAACAATCTTATAGCATGTGTGCGTAATGTTAAGGCTTATCAAAATTTAACTGTTCACTAGAGCTTAATTGGCTCTGATACCATAGTAAAACTTAGAGTTTCATCCGAAAAGTTTAAATCAATAAGAGAAGTAGATAATGCAATATATGTTATTGGATATGTTAATACTCTGAGATAATTATGTAGGTCTTCGTTGTCCTAAATTACCTGTTCTCCCCTTTGGTTTTTAGCATCATCTATGCAAGTGGGAAAATCTGCTAGTAGATCTTCCGCCAAATTTTTCTTCTACCGATAATCTCCCATTCTCTCGGTAATTTCCACTTTTGGAGAAGATGTATTGATATGAGAAGTTTTACTGCTTCATGTATCAATTATCCATAAGTGGCGATTAATAAAATTGAAGATCACGTCCATTGATATTTTCTATAAGATCACGTCCATTAATAAAATTCCCAAGGACGCGAACAGTTGTTGCCTCCACGTTGTCTGGTCGTTAGTTTGAGGCAGGCCTTGGTTTCCCTTTTTATATTAATATAGATTAGGAAACCGTTTATATTTTGGTCTCCACCTCATTGTATGTATTCTCAATATTTAAAGAAAAATGTTTACACTTTTTTTTCCAACACTGTGATAATTTTTGTGTTTAAAATGGAAAGACATTTTCCTATAAAACTTGATTACGTACCAATACAGAATTTGTGAATTCTATGAATCGGAATCATATTGGCAACTCTAGGCCATTGTATACTTTTTTTTCACTCTGTCTAGCTATATATAGTTTGATAGCCTGGCCACCAAGTCATGCTGCTCCTCACGACACTCTATATACAACCCAATAAGTTAAATATACAATGAATAAGCATTAATATGTACCTTTTAAGACTTTGTCTAACCTAAAATATAAGCATATCGCAACGAAAGCATGACAAAATCGCATGAACACCAACAAGACATCAATATAAGCCGCATCGTGAAAGTCGGATGTTGTTTGTTGCAAAATTTTGTTCATGACTAAAACAAACAGAAGAACCATATAAATTAAATGACAAGCGGTGTTTGTTGAACAAGTCTCTTATAGTGACAAATGATCCAATTTATTATTTTGGACATATTTGTTTCGTACAATAGAACTAGATATTAGAATTGACCGAATTTGTTATTTTGGACTTATTTGTTTCATATGTTTAATTAATATGTAGCTTAATTCACTCATACAAGACGTCTGTATGGTTAAACACACATGTCATTCATAAAGTCATTCCCAACTACTGTGCATATCATTACTGTGGCATTCTAGTACAATTAATTTCTTCTCTATTCTCTATTATTATTACTATTACTATTATTATTCTTATCATCATCATCATCAATATTATTGTTATTATTATTGTTGTAATGATTATTATTTTTTATGTGTGATTGCTTGGATATATGAGATCCTACAATTGGTATCAGGGCAAATCGTGTTATAATTGGTAAAAAGAGAAGACAACACACTATTCTTCTTTATCGATCTACAAAAACTTCACAGTGGAACTATCTTTTTTGTACACAAATTTTAAATCCAAATCATCTTTTTTGTCCAAGTCTTCTTTTCAGTCACAAAGTCAAGGTTATGTACAAAGCATATATTCGGATCACATAATTCTGGGTTCATAGTATCTTTTTTGGGCTTACTTATAATATTCAATATATATAAATAATTGTGAACCTAATTAAAAATGTTGAGGGCTTAGAGAATCTCTCATGACACAATGTGCATGGTACACATGTGACATGAGAGAGATGGGCACAAATTCGGTCAAGTCTAATATCTTTTCATAGTCTTATGTATTTTGGTAAGTTTTTATCAACTAACAATGTCAACCACACTGTGTACATCTAGACATTGCACTTGACATTGTGAAGAAAAACTTATCAAAAACATATAAAATCGTTCAAAAAAGAAGAGAGATATTCTACTTATTAACTTTAATGTGACTATCTCATGCCACATATGTATCTTGCACATTGTAGCATTGGAGATGTTGTTACCCCCCAGCCCTTCTTGCACTCATAAGGGCAAATTCAAGAATCTAAGTCAGATTGAGTTAATAAGTAATTATACTAAATTTGAATACTACTAGAGAGAGCTAGATAGGAAAACGAAAAAATTACACTACAAAAGTTAAGGAATGATATGGTCTAAGCTCTACTGGGCGCTCCGTGGAGCGGCTATGCGGGGAATGAATGAGTGCTCTTAATGTATTTTATCTGTTTTGGGGTAGACAAACTGCTTTCAAATCAATTTTCATGATGTTGAACAAAATCCTCTTTGTATCCATGTACGTTTGATTTGCAATCCGTCTTGACGTTGGTTCCTCAAGCATAACTCCATACAGTTTAACTTGCGATCAATGGCTCATTGATGAAGTGAGAGCTTAAGACCCGATTTCTGATCGCACCAAGTTTGGTAAAAGCATGCGTTAACTAACTGAGAAAAAAAATAAGAGTCATCCGCATAAGCAGAAAAAGAGGTTCGAGGCCATAGCCATAATGTAGATTCATCCATGTGCACCCCTTAAGATTGCACCTGAGTTAATGTCATGTTACCCCGCTCTAATTGTGAATAGCTACTGTTATAATTTATTATTAAATTATTGTTGTTGATGTCATTTATTGTTGTCATTATTTATAATTATTTCAAACGCATTTTATGGGAATTACATATGTGTGTGCAAATGTAATTTATCTGTTCGATTCTTTTCGCTCAAATCTTAACCATTAAAGTATTTCAAATACTAAATTGTATGGCACATAATGTGCCAGCCGCACATAAATACTTTTCATGATAAACTGTTTTTTAATTTAGGGTTATATAATTAAGCGATTTTGACAATAATCACATCTCACGTATCATATATGAAATATAGTCTCATTTGTAAATTGTTATTATTATTAGATACAATTTTTCAAATAGGAGTAAAACATGGGTGAAGTCCATAAATAGGGAGTTGGTTTTCAAAATTCCATAAATAGGAGTACTTTTTCAGCTTGGGTAATAGAAAAATTCTATTTGTACCCACCCTCTTATACACACTCTTACACCCACCGATGTATAAGGCTGTTTTTTGTCTGTCAATCCCGTTCACATCCTTACACATTGGTGGGTATAAGGGTAGGTACAATTAGCAAAGTTGTGAATAATAATACCCCTACGGGACTTCGGGCCAGCCACCACTGTTGC